ATATAGCCCTCAGCAAATAGAAAACCATGAATCCTTGACAGAAATATTTCACAGAATTAAAAACACCTCTTAGGGTTACCATATAAATTTTATGAAAGTACACTTCAAATCTCAAAGTGTGTGTATGTGTGTGTGTTTTAGGAGAGTGAGTGAAAAATGAAATGATTTTAAAGTTCTTCTGAAAAAATAAATGGCAGGTTAGCCAAAAAAAATTACGGAAAAGAAGCAAGCACAGGAGGGCTTGGCTTGGCTTACTACATATTAAAACTTACTGTGAAAACTGTTTATTGGCCCACATATATGCTCTAGAAATAAAATATTTTAAATATCTTCAGATTCCATCCTCGAAAATGGTAGCTGCATCAGAGTACCTAATACAGTGACTTAAACATAGTACATACTTAATACGTAGTGCTGGGTGAATTCTTGAATAGAAATGTAGATGATTTTTATTTTATCCTGTGAGCTGAATTTATTCAGTGTCAGAATTTCTGAGTAAAATATTAATATAAATGAATGACCTGCTTGTTCTGTACTTTTGTTTAGCAGGTCACAACATTCTGTGCCAACTCTTGAAAACTGTCAAAATAGTCTGCTAATCTTCACTTGTATTTTGACTCAAATCTAAGTGAATAATGATTGGACTCAAAAATATCTATACTATTTCATGATTATAAATATTTCTATCATATGATTCTTTTCCCCAAAACTAATCTTTCAAATCTATTTACTAAGGAACAAGATAAAAATTTTAATCCATATCATTCTATTAATGATTGTGTGAAAATGTTCCTAATAATTTTTGGTGCTTACAATATCTTCTAGCCATTAACTGTTATATAATGGTTTAATTGTGGTGACTTTAAAATACGAACACAAATTATTTGATAACCCTCCCTTCTAAAGATGAAGCTATATCCCTTCCCCTTGAGTGATGGATTGGATTTAGTGACTCACTTCTAGAGTATAGAATGTGGCAGGAGTGATGAGGTGGGATTAGGTCATAAAAGAGAGTGTGACTTCATCCCTTCTCTCTCTAAGATCATTTGCTCTGGGAAGGAGCCAGCTGTATTGTTATGAGGACACTTGAGAAGTTCTATGGAGAGATCCATGTGGCAAGGTATTGAGACCTCCTAACAACAAACCAGCAAGAATTCCACAATGTTTTGCAAGATAACTTAGAAATGGATCCTCCAGTCCCAGTCAAGCCCAGTCAAGTCTAAAATGACTGTACCCCAAGTTGAAGTCTTGACTGCAACATCTGAGAAACCCTGAGCCAGAACTACTAATCTAAGCCACTTCCAAATTCTCGAATTACAGAAACTATGAGATAACAAGGGTTTTAAGCTGCTTGGTATGGGGGTAATTTGTTATGCCAAAACAGATAATACAAATATTATACCATTAATCTCATAAAAGGCATATTGGCCATCTTTTTAAATGCTATAGAGAATTACATGTATTAATTTCTGTGTTATGTCTTTCTCAAACTAGTTTGAAGCCATACACTCTGGACCATTTCAATATCATTATTATAGAAAGATTTTAAAGAATCTTTAAAAAGTCTTTTGAAAGGCCTTTGATAGTGCTCTAGAGACTGCTGATTAAATGCTATGAACAGGTTTAATAATCTAGAAAGAACTTTATTGCTGTGTCCCATAATTAAATCTATTAATTTTTTTGAAAATAATTTTTCTCCTTAGCAAAAATAAAAACCCTATTTTAGAACAATTAGAAAATGCAAAGTAAAATAATAACGCTCATAAGCAATCCTACACCCAGACATAACATATATCCTTTCATTGTGCGTGCATCTTTATTATTTTTTTTACAAAAGTGAAATCATACTGTACATAATATTTTTAATTTAACATGTCCACTTGTCATTTGATATCTATCTTTCTTGTAATCTTTAAACATGCTGACTCTAGCCTTTGTCACCTCCTTCATCACTATCAGTCTCCATCAGATTACTATTATCTCTTACCTCAGCAGCTTGCAATGGCCTGCCAAGTAGAGGAGACTTCCATTTTGGCCCCATAAGGAAGCCAGGTTGATCCTTCTAGAACATTGTTAAGGTCACCTTAAAAAACCTAAATTCTTGTTTATCACCAACAAGGCCCTGCAAAATTTGGCCCCTGCCCTCCTTTCAGCTCTCAGTGAGTCCTTGCTCATTGGCTACCTAGTTCGTCATCAGGACCTTATACTTAGCTCTGCCTTGAAATTTTTTCTCCCAGATAGTCATATATGGCTCACTCTTTCAGTTCATTTAGATCTGTTTAAAGATTATTTCCTCAGAGAAATAATCTTTATTTCAATAACCTTCCTTGACTACCCAATCTAAAAACTCTGCCTCTATCATTTAATTTTTAAAATATAACACGTCATTACCTAACATCGTAGTATATGTTTGTTTCATTATTTAAAACAATATATTTACCTGTTATTTGCCTCCCAAAAAGAATGTCAGTTCCAACAAAGCAGGGACTTTATCTGGCTTATTCATCACTATCCACATTGCTTAGAACAGTACCTGGTACAGTTAGGTGCTCAATAAATGTACGTTAATTAAAGGACAATATGGATGTACCATTTTAATTATTAATGCATAATAATTACTTGATATTTAAAATCCTGACAATTTTTCCTATTATGGGCAATTATGTCATGAACATGTGCATAAGTAAATATTTACACCCTATATGTGTTTCCTAAGATTTAGGAGTCAAAACCATTTTTATGGTTTTTGATACAAACTGCCAAACTGCCCTCCATCAAAACATTATATTATATACCATTCCAGAAATGAATGAGAGCTACTTTTTTCTCACTTTGCATAATAATGTACATTTTCCTTTTAAACACTGTCATTTTTATAGAGGAAAAATGGTTATTATTCAAATTTGCCTTTCTTCAGTTACTAGAGGGCAGATATTTGTTCAGGTAACTATTATCCATTTGCATTTTTTTTTTTTTATAAATTGCCTCTTCATGTCCTTTGCTTACATTTCTACTAATTTTTCCTTACTGGTAAGAGGTCTTTTTTACAATAAAGTGACCCATTGTCTAAACCATGTTAAAGTGTAATTTTCCCAGTTTGTGGTTTGTCTTTAAGTTTTAATTATTATGTTTTAACTTTTTTATCATGTAGAAATTTAAATTTTATATGGTCAGGTTGATTACT